TTTTGGGGGGGGGTATTTTGATAGGGTAAAAACCGGTAAATCATGCTGGTCGAATGTCGTAAAAGTGAGTAGAGACGAAAAAGTTAGGTTGACGTCCATAATTGCTAGTCAGTGTGACATGGCCTTTTCTTTACGGGCAGGGAAAATAGTCCTAATAAATGGTAGGGGGATAGAGGGAGGGGGGTCAGTCCTTCAGAACTTCTAAGAGTTTCATTGTTAATGGTATATTCGTAGTGCAGAATCAAATAAAATAACAAACAAGCGACAAACATAACAGATAAACCAATCAAACCAAATGAACGAGAACCACAGATCATAACTGTATTTAGCTCTAAGTACTAGAGTAATATTCAAGTATCATTCTAAAAGAGTTGCCGATTTGCTGTTCCCAAGAGGATTTAATTGTGATTTATTATGATATAAAAGACTACATTGTGTTTGACAATATTGCGGATCATTTACAAACAACGATATCACCGCGCGCGTGCGCACACACACACTCATACACACATAAAAAAGCAAAAATAATTAAGCCCATTGCTCCCCAAACCGTCACGGAATGAGACCTCGGTTTTCGTCCCATGTGCCTAAGTTGGTCAGATTTACTGTCATCGACCGCTAACCGCCCTAAGCCTCCTCGATACCGGCCTCTCCAGGGATTTTTTTTTATCTTCTTCCGGCTTCTCCTTGCTCTTCCACTCGTTATCAGGAGAGAGAGAGAGAAGATAAAGGGTGAGGAGTTGCTCAACTCTCATGTGGCTTCTATTCTGCATCCGTGTTGTATTGTTGTATTGTTGCTGTCATTATTATATTTTTCTTTTTTTCTATTTTCCTCCTCAGGCTTGCACAACAAGCTGTCTGACCGCGTCACTTCCGCTTCCCTTCTCCACATTCCTGCGGACATGCGCACGGTGACCAAACCAGGAGCAAACACGGCTGCAGACGGAACACTTCCCGATGAGATGACCGAGGAACCTCGCTGTCTGAGAGGTGCTCAACATGAACGTCTACCGGGATGTCCACATTCGCTGCGGTACCGCTCTACTACCCACCACCCAACTTTTTCAACCTCCAGCAACC